TAGGCAATCCAGAAACTGGCAACAATTCCTGTTAATCACTAAGATTGAATATTGAAACATATTGAAACATAATAATAAAAATATGTAGCTACGTATTAAAAATCTCTTCAGAAGTAAGATTCAATCCTTCCAAACACAAAATACATGATATATTAAAACGGTTAAATAAACCCAATTATTTCATTTTACAGTTAAAAATTGTGATCTAATTTACCTTAATCACCGTTTACCGTTAACTATTAATAATAAATTAAGCAAATAGATAATTGATCGTTGAATATTCTGGAATTTTTTCTAATTTATTAAAGTAAACAAACAAAACTTGAAAAGTGCTGTACAAAATGCCTTTTGGCGAAGCCTTTGGCTTCCTTTCGATTCAAACTATCAAATTGAAAAATATACAGGCGCTACAACCTCTTTAGGTCTTGGCCTCAGATGTCTGTATCTGTTTCGTGATCAATTTCAAATCTAATAGGCAAGTAGGTAATCAGCCTCCAGTACCTGACACACGCTGTCGACTTGGGTCTAAGACATGTCGGTTTCCTCACGATGTTTTCCTTCAACGTTCGATCAAATGTTAAATGCGCCCATAGAAAGAAAGTCCATTGGTGCAAAGCCGGGGATTGAACCTACGACCTCAGGTATGAGAGTCGCACGCTGAAGCCACTAGCTCTGCTCTCCGTTGTTACAATACATAAACATAATCGATTATAAAATTAATCAATCAATAACTTCTTCTTCTCTATCCTTCGCCAAGTGTTTCCAATATTCTCCCTCTCTTTAATTCTAGACTGTCTTCCATGGCCTACTTCTCTTTAGTGTTCCAGATGGACCATTTCTATTGATACGATATTTTTTGTTTATGTCCAAAAATGTTAACTAAATCAATATTTTCTCTCTTATTGAGTATATATCTTAATATATATAAATTACGCGTCACGTTGTTTGTCCGCTATGGACTCCTAAACTATCGAACCGATATCAATCAAATTTGCACACCGTGTGCAGTTTGATCTAACTTAAAAGATAGGATAGCTTACATCTCAATTTATACCCGCAATATTATTTTATTGCAAAATATTTGTTTATTATTTGATAGTCACAATTCCAACAGATGGCGCTGTGTTGAAAGTACCAAAGTTTCACATAAGCTACAATTTCATGGCATAACCACCAATAAAGCATTGCGGTCCCTGTGACTGGTGTTCTCCTACCGTTTCCCTTGAATAGTTTACTACTATGTAATATAACAAAAATCTTAGCCACAGCAACGCTTGGCCGGTCTGCTAGTAGTATATAAAACAAAATAAAATAAAAGTTGTTTCTCTATCCTTCGCCAAGTGTATCCAATATTCTCCTCCTGTCTGATTCTATCAGACTACGGCTCCACTGGCCTACCTCTATTTCGCGCTCTTTTTTGTTTTATGGGATGCTGTCAAAATGTATCAACTAAATCAATAGTTTTCTGTCTTATTGATACACTTTACGCTTTGTACATAAAATTAAATAAAGGTTGTTTGTGTAAAGACTTGTTGATATCATTGTTGAATTTAATATGTGGGAATGCGATTTGAGATAAAATATATTACGTAATCTCTTACACATTTTCGAGAATTCATTTTGCGATGCATTATAATTTATTTGTTTCTTCGCGCCTTTTACCCGAAGGGGTTGACCTTCTACGGTCCTGACATTCCTATCTTCGTTCATCGGTCCTTTTCTCTCTTCTTAATACGTCCTGGATTTCTTTATCTGTTTTATGATCAATTATCAATCTAAGAGACAAGTAGGTGGTCAGCCTTCAGTGCCTGGCACAAACCGTCGACTTTTTGGGTCTAAGACATGTCGGTTTCCTCACGATGTTTTCCTTCACCGTTCGATCAAATGTTAAATGCGCCCATAGAAAGAAAGTCCATTGGTGCAAAGCCGGGGATTGAACCTACGACCTCAGGTATGAGAGTCGCACGCTGAAGCCACTAGCTCTGCTCTCCGTTGTTACAATACATAAACATAATCGATTATAAAATTAATCAATCAATAACTTCTTCTTCTCTATCCTTCGCCAAGTGTTTCCAATATTCTCCCTCTCTTTAATTCTAGACTGTCTTCCATGGCCTACTTCTCTTTAGTGTTCCAGATGGACCATTTCTATTGATACGATATTTTTTGTTTATGTCCAAAAATGTTAACTAAATCAATATTTTCTCTCTTATTGAGTATATATCTTAATATATATAAATTACGCGTCACGTTGTTTGTCCGCTATGGACTCCTAAACTATCGAACCGATATCAATCAAATTTGCACACCGTGTGCAGTTTGATCTAACTTAAAAGATAGGATAGCTTACATCTCAATTTATACCCGCAATATTATTTTATTGCAAAATATTTGTTTATTATTTGATAGTCACAATTCCAACAGATGGCGCTGTGTTGAAAGTACCAAAGTTTCACATAAGCTACAATTTCATGGCATAACCACCAATAAAGCATTGCGGTCCCTGTGACTGGTGTTCTCCTACCGTTTCCCTTGAATAGTTTACTACTATGTAATATAACAAAAATCTTAGCCACAGCAACGCTTGGCCGGTCTGCTAGTAGTATATAAAACAAAATAAAATAAAAGTTGTTTCTCTATCCTTCGCCAAGTGTATCCAATATTCTCCTCCTGTCTGATTCTATCAGACTACGGCTCCACTGGCCTACCTCTATTTCGCGCTCTTTTTTGTTTTATGGGATGCTGTCAAAATGTATCAACTAAATCAATAGTTTTCTGTCTTAATGATACACTTTACGCTTTGTACAAAAATTAAATTAAATAAAGGTTGTTTGTGTAAAGACTTGTTGATATCATTGTTGAATTTAATATGTGGGAATGTGATTTGAGATAAAATATATTACGTAATCTCTTACACATTTTCGAGAATTCATTTTGCGATGCATTATAATTTATTTGTTTCTTCGCGCCTTTTACCCGAGGGTTGGTTCACCTTCTACGGTCCTGACATTCCTATCTTCGTTCATCGGTCCTTTTCTCTCTTCTTAATACGTCCTGGATTTCTTTATCTGTTTTATGATCAATTATCAATCTAAGAGACAAGTAGGTGGTCAGCCTTCAGTGCCTGGCACAAACCGTCGACTTTTTGGGTCTAAGACATGTCGGTTTCCTCACGATGTTTTCCTTCACCGTTCGAGCAAATGTTAAATGCGCACATAGAAAGAAAGTCCAATGGTGCACAGCCGGGAATTGAAGCTATGACCTCAGGGATGAGAGTCGCAAGCTGAAGCCAACGTGCTCATAATATACACATACCCACGATCATCAAATAATTTATCGATTTGACCTCAGAAGAGATACCCGCATTTTGCGTTGTGTCCAACGTGATTATACTTCCATCTGCAACTTCACCGGCTTGGATTTCATGTACCTATAGCAATGATTTGCGACCCCTCATCATTATTCCACCAGTGTTGGCCTGTGGTTTCATCATGTGCATCCTCACAAGTGCGTTGCCAAGTTTTAAGAATTGGTACTCTCCTTTCTTGTCGAGTGGAATTGGTGTGGAAATACTTCAATGGGCAGCTGGTTCCACATTAGTGGTGCGCGGGAAATACTGCCTTTAATCGTTCAGTTGTGGAAAATTGTATTCCGAAGTACAATAGTGTAAATCTTACATTCGCATCAAAACAAACATTGTTCTTATCAAATGATAACGCTGATGATAAATATCGATAATAACATGAAGTTCATGCTCTCCTGGGATGTTGAGGTTATAAACCCTTTGACGCGGCGATAAACAAAAAGTCTATTATTTAGAACTCTCGGCCAAAAGACTTGTATCCAGGTAAAAAAAAAAATTGTCATCATAGATAATATATGTCATTAATGTCATACACAAACAATGCGTTTATCTATAAATTCATTTCTTGTTTAATATTGTCTTTACACACACGTAACACTTCTTTAACTGGTGTTAAATATATAACATTAAATACATAACTCGAGTGGTTTTGATCGGTAAGCGTAAGAGAAAGACGGTAACAAGGTGGAAATGGCCACCAGGGAAAAGAAAGAGACCTCTTGCTCGGAGGGCTGAAGCTTAAAGAAGTTGGTGGAGAAGATTGGGCGAAATATGCTCAAGATAGAGGGAGATGGAAAAAATATGATTTTTAAGTGTTTTTATTTTTTGTAAAGATCAATGAATTTTTCAAGGAATAAATGAGGCTTCTTTATTATTATTTTTTAAGCGTAAGACATTATGTTGGCAGATAACCGCGTGTTGTTCCCACGAGAATGTAAGTGCGTGCTCCTATTTCACCATGCCTCCTGCTGATAGAGGAAAAATTTGTTTTTAATTTATTTTATTATTTATTACTGAAGATGTCATGTGTAACATGGTGTAATGGTTGCATTACAAACATTGCGTAAAACAAAAATCTTAGCGATTAAAAAGAGTGGCGGAGAGTTTATTGCCAGTTCTGCTCGTCCATACTATGCCCTTGATTTGAGAACTAGCAGTAAATGTAAAATTAGAAGCATTAAATATGTATTTCTTTTTTGACGTTCATAGGTATACATGGTAGACATTTAGGTAACACAATGTACACTACATTGTGTTACCTATATGAATAAATGATTTTGATTTAATTTAACATTTTGATTACTATACTCTACTAGTTCATATTCTTTCTACTCATATTAGTTTGATAATAACGCCATCTACTGGCGCAAACTCGAAACAATTCATTGTACAACAAGTCCTCTGCGTGACTGTGTTTTTTATTAAAAAAGTTATATAATACTATAGCCCTCTTCACTAACAAATATGTTAACAAAAAAGCAATTTAATTCGCTCGTGAGCGTCATTTGAACTTAAAATTTTCTATACATCTATTGTAAGCAGTATTTGCCTACCCTCATGTGTTCCATTTATTATAATCATAACTTTTTTTAGGAGGGTAGCGGCGGCGCGGGTAGGCGAGCGTCGCGCGCGCACCATGCTTGCTAGCATCAAGGGCTTCTGGAAGGTGTGCCGCTATGGAGACCTCTATATGGTATGTATAAACTCATATATATATATTTAGGTATTAATATCTATGTTTTGGAACAGTGTCGGCCTAGTGGCTTTAGGGCGCGACTCTCATCCCTGAGGCCATAGTTCCGGACCCCGGCTGTGCATCAATGGACTTTCTTTCTATGTGCACATTTAACAACTATTAGATTGTCTTTGATTGACATAACCTTTACACATTTAAAGAAAAAACTTTTTAACCGGATTAAAGTTATGTATTATTATAAACCACCGTGGTCACCGTGACCACGCACGCTGTAAAGCACGCGAAACGTCGGATAAATTTAAAATTATGTTAAATAATTGAAAATTTATAATAATACATAACTTTAATCCGGTTAAAAAGTCTTTTCTTTAAACTATTAGATTGACAAATGAAACATATACAGAAATTTGAGAAAAGTTCTGGCGCCACTGATTTATTTATTTTTATTCATTTCTATTGGGTCCACTTACAGGCCTTGGTCAAAGGAACAGTATATTTAAAAAGTATATATAGAAAGGCTAGGAACGATTCTTTTGGTAATAATTTAAAATTGGCGTAAATCTGTAATTAAATCGTTACAAACAATTATTGTTATGTAATCAACAATACAGGTTGATAATTACTGAGAGATTTAATGCGTTAAACGATTGTTAAACACTGATAATCCGATTAAAAGCGACACGTGTTAATAATTAATAATGTCATTTAAAAGAAAGGAATAGGAATGTTTCACTGAATAAACACTAGTCTATAATAAACACTAGTGTGCACTTTTTTATTATTTTTTTTTTTTCATGTATTCTTTATTAGTTTAGTTTGTTTTTTGTTCCTTATTTCCAACTAAATGTAATACATGTATTTTTGCACTTCTTGCCTATCTTATGTAATTTAATACTTTTTGTTGTCTCACAGTGGTTGCCTGGAAGAGATCGCTTGAAAGCGATAAGGCCGCCAGTTGCTCTCCTTTTTATTTAATTATGTCAATTGTACTATATTAATGTATATGCAACGAAGTGTTAATAAATAAATAAATAAAATAGTCCAGGTTTCGAGAATAAAACATGTTTCTAAACATTACCGTAGAAACATGTTTCTCAATGTTTAAACTTAGCTGCCTAGAAGCTTTACCGATCGAAGTTTTTAGTTACTTTTCGTGTAGAAATACTTAGATATTAATGGTATTAACATGTTAATGAGACACAGTGACATTCCGCTGATTAAATCTCTGTGTTTAATTAGTCAGAAATCTCTAGTGTTACTTTTGATGCGTAAATATCAAACTAATAACCAGGCGGTTTTCCCCACTTTAAGTACCCGATGTCAAATTAAACGCATCTAGAATGTTATTAACAACAATCAGTGGAACATAATTATTATTTGTATCTTTTTCAAGGAACCGACAGGTTTCGAATGTTGCTCAATGTTTAATAATAAATTTATAAAATTCAAAATTCAAAAAATCATTTAATCATATAGGTAACACATTGTACACTTATGACTTGTCAGTAAACAAATACATATTAATTTTACATTTAGTGCCAGTTCTCAATTCAAGGGCCTAGAGCGGAAGAGAAGAACTGGCAATAAACTCTCCGCCACTCTTTTTAATCGCCATGTTTTTTTTTATAAGGATTTAAACAAAGCTTTTGATTAGGTCTGTCATAGGGAGTTCTTGCCTAATCTTACAATTCGTTTTCTAGACGTTTTCTTTCATATCATTCAACTTGAATGTATATTAAGTCTTCAAGTTAATTAATTCACATGAATACCTACAACCATAGACTGATTTTGGCATAAACAAGATAACGATAAAAACTTGCATAATTTTCGAGACAAAAAGTCAGACATAAATGTTTTTGCCGTGTGTAATTGTCTTGATATAGAACTAATTATACATCATCATACACTTTATATGAAACAAATAGAATGAAATAGCTAATACTCGCTTAGATTCACTTTTAATAATGATTAGGAATCTCAATGATATTTTATACATTTTGTGCATGTTTGAAAATTTAAGGGTCTAGGAGCGGGTTTAGGGGTCAGAAGAATTCGGGAAAATGAGAGTCCCAAAATAAAAGTTCTTTTTACTAGAATTTTTAAGATACTTTTTCCGTTCTTTTTGTTAAGTGGAAGGTAGAGTCCAGCTCTATCATTCCCGGAGGGCTTGCAAGTGTGTCGCCGGACTTTCTCTATTGTGGGGGCAACGGGGACCTCTAAATCCGGCCCCATATTAGAACCGTAAAACTGCTATTTTACTAATTCGCAGGTTATTATTATTAATTACTAAACATGTGTTTTATACTTGCAAACTCATCAGAGCTTTGTTACTAAGGAAATCTTATGCAATACTCGATAAAGTTGCATTTAGGAAATTACTGAATAATTTTCATTTAATACTTTACAAATATTTCGCGAGTTCGTTGTTTTGGTTACGAAAATGGTATCTGGGGATGTTTAAGAAATAGGCTTTTCTTTTCTGGGGAGTGAAAGAATGTTACCGAATTTCAGCTAACACACACATACACGCAACCCTTGGTCTCACATATGTTTCGTGATATTTTTATAGTTGTCTACTATGATCAGATCATTGTCAATAGCCTCCATTTTATTGGGTGCGATGCCGGCATTTGAGGGAGGAATATGCTATATGTTCTTTGACTTTGCTAATTTTACCCTCATAGTTCTCATATTATATATACCGGAAGCGATTTTATTATACGGATATTATGTAGTTCCGGTGAACCTCGACCGTCAGTTTAAAAGGAAATAAGTCACACCCATTTATGCCTTTTAAAGAACATATTTATCAAATACTGGTATGTCTTCTGTTGTTAATTCTTTGATATATTTTTATAGACAGACGACATAGATAAGAGAGATAGATAGATTTTTGAGTCCAAAACATGTAAGGGTTGAGAAGTTTCACTGTTGAGGTACTAGGCGAACAGGAATGTATAGGAGTGTACAGTGTACACACTTCAAATTTCTTGCGGAGGTTTGACTTTACTGACACATTTTTTTCGCCAATAATTAAACGTAGGAACTCTGTTTATATGTCACAAAGCCAGTCAAGTGTATAGTTATTACACCAAAACAGAAGCCATGTTGAGGGTCAACGACTCTAGCGTAATTCGCACGCGGTCAAGTTCATTACCGACTGTAAGGCTACACGCACACGCACGACCTCGTTCCTTTCGCTTCATATCAAGCAAACTACTACGCACGTGGCGTGATTTATTGTTCCATTTATTTTTTAAAAATGGAATTTCTTTGTTCGAATTATAAAATTTAGTTGTTCAAATGGGAAAAAAATTCCATATTTAAATTGTTATTTTTAAATGTGGAATTTCGTTAAAATATGGTTGGAGGTCTTTGAACGAATAAAGAATTTAATGGCCTTGTGCTGTAAATAGTTATATTTTAGAGAACACAAATTTTTAAATCAATTATTTTTAAATATGGAATTCTAATCATATCTGTTTGTTTACGTAAATGACAAATTAGTGATGACGCAATATTAATGAATTAAAATCTTTTATAAACAAATCAAATTATAAATTCTTAATTTGAAATAGCTTCATATTTGGAACATTGGTTTTTTTCTAAAAAGATAAATTCTTAATTCTAAAATTATTTTCTTATTTGGAATGTATTAGCAATCTAGACAAGCCAGTCCCTCACAAACAAGTCACTTTAGGTTTGTTTTGCAAATCTTCGTAAATATGATGCAACATGATACTCAAAGCATCTCATATAAAAGGAAGTCTGACGCAGTATCGGTTACATAACAGTTTCAGTAATAGGGTAACCATAGGTAAACAGACAATTACGCTTCATTATTGCTATTATGACAATTGACATAAACATTCCACCATCGATAATACGTTTTGGATATACTTTACACAACAGAGCATAGAGCAAGATTCAGAATCGAGATACAGCGCGAACTATACTATATACTTAAGAATTAAAACATAAGACCAGCATCTCGATCATTCATCAATATTACACAAGCAATACAATGAAAAGATGCTGTTTTATTGCATCTATTAATATAAAGCATCTCAGGCACTACATATTCCGATTGAATTCTTTGGATTCTCATTTATAAAAGCTATTGAATAAACAATTCAATTAATAGTCGGAAATTCGAAATTTAAACAAATTTGTTTAAAATCATGAAAAAAAAATTAAATTTAGAATTACTTTACAACCAGACGGTATTCGAATTTAGAACATTAAACTCAAATAAGTTTTTAAGAAATAAATTTTTATTTAAAATAAATTACGGCCAGACGTAATTTTTTCAAATTTAGAATGTAACTCAAATAATTTTTTATGACCTATGTCATTCATTTTGCATCTGTTTTCTATCAAATAGTGTTAAGAAAGTGTTTTAGTTAGAACAGTTGAAACTGCTTTAATTTTATGAAATAGAATCAATAGTGTTTCTTATCAAATAGCAGTATTAACTTGTTTCTTTGTTCCAGTCGATTTATAATAAAACAATTATTAGGACGCACATAAAACCAGTTCAAGGCATTTAGCTCAAATTCTTTAAAGTTCATAATATTATCTCAGTATAATAGGAATAAACGACACTTGTCTAAATAAATCAATTAATTATCATCTAAATAGCTGTGAATATATTTTGTCTATTGTCAACTTCTATAGTGTGGGGTTTGATTCCAGAAACACAAAATAATGTTAATTACAAAATGCATGTATGAAATAAAGTAAGGAGGACCCGATCCTGGAGGCCATTCGAAAAATGTCCCATATATATGTTAGTAAACGTTTAATCAAACAAAATTGATTATTTTAATTAAAATTTATTAAATTTAACTTATTGTTCACGCTCGATTTTTCTCGTCTTACCCGTAACCGCGACAATTTCTCATTAAATTTATTTTCATACCACCGTGACTGACGTTTCATGTAACATATTAAAAGTAACATTTACGGGAACAAAATGGCTTCATAACAATGTCAACGCGTCACAATTCCTTATTTAAAAACGTAACGCAAATTTAATTGTTTAAATTTGGAGCACATTTTGAATATTTAATTCAAATTTAGAATTTCGTTCTTACGCAATTTAATTTTTATATTAAATTTAAATTTAGTGAAAAGTCTCCCGGTTCACCAAATTTTTCTCTGAGACACCTTTTACTTTGTTTTTGCTAAAATTACTTTGTTTTTGCTAAAATTGTATGAAGAGATTTTTAAATTTAAAAATGATTGTATTGTAAAAGTTTCCTGTTGTTCGCATATAATCCCGTCATTAAATTTGCGTGTAAGTAATCACTGGTTTGTTCAGAAGTGGAATTACATATCATTTCGTTAATCAACTTTGTTTATCCTTTACAACAATGAATGTTTTACAATCTCCACGTTTAGGACTTAGTGTTATCAATGTTGAATTTCTGACTTTAAAATCATTATATTAATCAAATGATGTCTAGGACAAAATTGTTTATTTACATGAGTTATCTTACCTAACTGAGGTATGTATAATACATAAATTCGTAAATATTGCGTTATAAAGCAGTTAATTATTTAATTATTTTATTTTATTTCTTTTTTATTTGGCATTTTAATCCTTGTTATTATTATTGTTATTGACCGATTGACTGATTCCAAAACTAAGGACCTGTTTTTAAGTTCCAAAGAGGGGCATACACACAACATATGTGTAAATTGAATTAAATACAGCAGTCATAGAAATATATATATGTTTTTTTATATATATATATATATATAGATATATATATATATATATATAAATTCTGAGGCCCAACCTATGGGCAACATTACGGGATTTTTAGACTGTAACAATAAAGATGCGCATGCGTATTTATTAAGTTAACTTTTCCCAAAATCTGGTGTTACAAAACAAAAACTAAAAAATAGTTAGGACACACAAAAACCCCCATATCTTAAATAAACGTGAAAAAATTGAGATCAAAGTACCAGGGCACCAGAACCGTGTAGCATCTCATCGTTCCGGTTGTTACACCTATATTATACATAAACGCTCAAGTTATATAAACGCCTGTCAACTCGATCAACAACATATTTAATATATAAATTACCCATTTAGCACGCACGCCCATTACAATGTACCACTACTCATCACTGCCCACTGAAGTATTTCCGTACCAATTCGACTTACGGCCGAACCCAATAATCAATCCATAATCTCAGATTGTTTTCAATCAGACCGTGATTATCGATCGATCTCCTATCTGCATCCCAATAACCAACCCTACGAAGACAATCCATTTTTGGCGAAGGATAAAATGGTCTTTTTCGTTCCATTTTACCAAGTTTACACTCATATTTTATTTATTTTAAAAACTGGTGTAAGTTAAAATCTGTTAAAATAATTAACTGTTGGAATCGAGCTTTCGTCAACTGTCATTTTCATGCAAAGGTCTATCCACAAACACCGATCCGACCTCCCATAAATAGGTTGTATCGAGAGTTGGCTATTACAATCCGTCGATTAGTTATTGGCACACTTAATACAAAATTTGGATTAAGATTTCTATCTCAGATGGATTGAGATAGGTTATTGGGTTAGGGCGTTAGGTAATCGCCACTTATAAAACTAAGTAAGCCTGCGTGAGCAAACAGCCTTGGAGCCTTGCTCTACGCTTTCATGGATCTGATAATTTCATCAACAAGATTTTCCTCAAGATGTTTACATCCGCTGAAACACACCCATTAAACACCACGTGTATCTGTCGCAGCCAACTAGCTTAAATAGCCGTTCAATTTACAGCCTAGCCTTTTAACTAAACAGAGCCGTTTAACTAGCGGCCTGAAAGTTGTTCAGCCAGTTGATAAAACAGCTAGGCAAATGACTTGGATCGATGACGTTTCATTACTTGCCTAGCCTGTTGAATTTAAATTTAATTCCACTTTTTTCCACTTTCAAACTCGAATTGGATGGTGTTTTCCAAAGTTTCACGAAAAACATCAAGTAGAATGGAAGAGTGTAGTGACAATAATAATGTGAATTTGACGCAAGCAATTTAAATTTTAAAGAAATATTTTTTAAATCAGATGTTTCATCTTTTATTTCTACCAAACATTGACTCTATCGTACCAATGGCCTGATCAAACGCTACGGCTGAATATCTTTCAGGCCGCTAGTTAAACGGCGCCTTTTAGTTAAAAGGCTAGGCCGTTAATTGAACGGCTAATCAAGCTAGCTGGCGGCGACATATCGATCACGTTTTAAAACCGTATTCACTTGGAAAAAATGTTGGCACAGTTCCCGTGTTTACGCGCGAAACACAATGTCAATGGTCTCCATTGAGTTACGCCAGGCCCTGTACTATTTATACACAAATAATATTCGAATTTAGCTTTCTTCGGGCTCGGATGTACAGATGATGTTTTTAGAAGTATGTAATTTTATCTGGATATATATTTGTGTTCAGTGTTAATTGGAATCAGTGCAGCAGGATGAGCTCTAAGGCAACGATGGCGAAACGTCGTGAAGCGCATCTACTTCTTCTATTACCACTAGTTCACAGCGATCACGACCGCTCTGTCTAGAGTATCCGGTATACTCTAGACTAGGAAGGAAGAAGTTAATTGGAAATTGTTTCCAGGTTTTGGCGGCGTTGGCAGCGCAGTCTATCAACATATCAGTCGGGTTTTGTCAAGGCTTCTCCGCGGTTCTGCTGCCCCAGTACACTCATGAATATCCACAGATAACTTACGAACAAAGCTCATGGATTGGTAAGTTAATTTAATCTAATATATAAAATTCTCGTGTCGCGGTGTTTGTAGTTAAACTCCTCTTAAACGGCTTGACCGATTCTCATGAAATTTTTTGTGCATATTGGGTATGTCTGAGAATCGGACAACATCTATTTTTCATCCCCCTAAATGTTAAGGGTAGTCCACCTGTCACAATGTTAGTTACCATACTCCTCCGAAACGGCTTGACCGATTTTTATCAAATTTTATATTCATATTCAGTAGTTCTGAGAATCGGCTACTATCTATCTTTCAAACCCCTAAGTGTTAAGGGGTGTCCATCCCAAAAAAAATTTTTTAATTTTTTAAACAAAATTTGTTTTTATTTTCTTATGATACAGCATACAAAAGTAGATACAACCCCTAATTTTCACCCCTCTGCGACCAAAATATAAATATAATAAAATAATATTTCCTAGAAATAATAAACATGGCAAAACAAATGTTTGCCGGGTCAGCTAGTTATATATATAATTCTCTATAAGAAGAAATTGTTTATATTGTATAAAATCTAAAAGTTTTGTTTTTTATAAGAAATCTACTTAAGACAGACTTAATAATAACTATATATTTAGGTGTACAATACGTCTTGAATAAGAAGAATAAAGAAGAGTTTTAAGTATACTATTCTGTCTCTTCCCATTGGGTGCCACAACCATTATGGGTGGTCGCGTTAAATTTTTTCATAATTTTTGTCATGAGATACTTGCCATTTCCTCACATTCATACGTACGTGTTACAAAAATCTGCACATTTGGGTTCTAACGCACTGTGGACAGCACTGCTAATAATACCAACGTGTATGCTATGACGTGCCATGGTTGGTAATCATCCAACCTTCCACGTCATCAATTGGTTCTGCTATGGAAATTTTCTTATCTTTTCACCAACATTGAAATTTTTGTGATATACCCAGTCAAAAGCTTTAGTATAATCCAAACACAACTTTCATACATTCTAACTCTTTTCAGCGAGCTTGGGTGTGATATCAAATCCAATTGGTGCTCTGCTAGGTGGGATGATGGTTGATGCAGTGGGTCGTAAGCTACTCCTGCAATCAATAGTTCTACCTAACCTTGTGGGCTGGCTTGTCATCGCCTTCTCGGAGTCTTACATCTTCCTTTGTGTTGGGAGGTTCATCACAGGATTCACTATAGGTATGTTTAATTAGATATCACTTTTTAGGCGTAGGAATGTACCAAGTTTTAAATTTCTCGTCCCTGAGGTCGTAGGTTCGATCCCCAATGGAATTTCTATGTGCGCATTTAACATTCGCTCGAACGGTGAAGGAAAACATCGTGAGGAAACCGACATGTCTTAGACCCAAAAAGTCGACGGCGTGTGTCAGGCACAGGATCACCTACTTGCCTATTAGATTTAAAAATGATCATGAAACAGATTCAGATATCTGAGGCCCAGACCTAAAGGAGGTTGTAGCGCCACTGATTTATTTACTTAAAGGATAGTATTTTTTTCGACACAAATTGATTTTTGAAATTATCACAATGTAACAGATAATAATAATGGTATCAACATAGTATGACCGATGGGAATATATTTTTTCTGCATAACTTGCTTTATAAAGGAAATAGGTGAAATTAAATCTGTCACGCTAATTATCGAGCGTGTCGCCTCTGATTGATGAAATAATACTGTATCTATAGTTGCATAATAACATTATCACTAAACATTACAGGTATGTCAACGGTCTCCTACATCTACGTAGCGGAGATCACAACAGCGGAAAAGCGTGGCGTATTAAGCGCTTTAGGCCCTGGATTGGTCTCCACCGGAATATTTATCGTGTACTCCCTTGGATCATTTGTCCATTGGCGGAAAGTCGCTGCCATCTGCGCCGCTGTCTCACTTCTCACACCGTTCCTCATGTATTTCGCTCCAGAGTCACCTCTATGGCTCGCCTCCAAAGGTCAGATGAAAGAGGCCTACAACGCCATGTTTTGGCTTCGGCAGAACAACAACACCGCTCAGCAGGAGCTCATGGAGTTCACCAAAGACCGCAAGAATGACGAGGAAATGACGTTTCGCCAAAAACTTGCGCTCTTCAAACGCCGGAGTGTGCTTAAACCGTTTGCATTGCTCATAGGTTTCTTCTTGTTTCAAGAGATGTCAGGGATATATGTGATACTCTACTATGCTGTGGACTTCTTCAAGTCCGTTGGTACAAGCGTAAATGAGTTCACTGCTTCCATTATAGTAGGGGGAGTGAGGGTGTTCATGGGAGCTGTTGGCGCGTGTTTGATCAATAGCTTCAGGCGTAAAACGTTGGCAGCAACATCCGGATTGCTTCTAGGCATAACTATGCTTGGCGCTGCTGTATGCGACTCGTTACAGGGACCACCGCTGGTGAAGCTGGCGTGCGTCCTACTCCACGTATCAGTCAGTATGGTGGGCTTCCTACAGCTGCCGTGGATCATGTCGGGAGAGCTCTATCCGCAAGACATCCGTGGAGTCATGTCCGGGGCTACGGCATGTTGTGCATACATGTTGATCTTCTTCAACATAAAGACGTATCCCCAGCTGGAGTACTACCTCACTAGCAATGGAACATTGTACCTATTCGGCATCTGTGCGTTGCTAGGTGCAGCGTATTGCTATTTGTTCCTACCGGAGACCAAAGGGAAGAGTTTGACTGAGATTATGAAGCAATTCAACGATGATAAAAAAGACGCAGATCCGGAGATCGGGTGTGAGAAGAAGTCAACGGTTGAGGGTACTGTGGTGCAGCGACGGCATAGCGCCGGGGCTGCTGTGTGCCTTGAAAAAAGCAATAATTTGTTTGACAACAGGTGGACCCACGAAAAGACTGTTGAGCAACGCGAATGAGCTTTTGCTTTGTAACACGAGATGACGCTGTTTTAAATATGTCTATGATTTCTCAATAAAAGAATATTTTACCGACTGGAAAATGTGATTAGATTTTAGTATAGTTTATTATCAGTATTACGAGTAACGCGGCGAATTTGACTGCAACATTCCAATGTGATAGTGATATTGTGTTAATAGGTGACGTTAACTAAACACTAGTTAAGTATATTTTTATAACTTTCGTACAAATGTTAATTAGTTTAGGTAAAGTATGACTGTTGCTAATTTTATCGGTTTAGAATTAATTTTATATAATATTTATAACTTCTGTGATGTTTATAACAAATATTAAAATAAAGTATTATAAATAATAATGTGTGAATCAAATACAAGGTTGTTATAAAACTGTTTTTCATTTCTTTACCGCCTTCGAGAACAAAATAATAAAAATAACAGAACAGTGAAGGGTTTTAACTCAAACCAAATATTATAATAACAATTTGTGTATAAAATTGTATCTGAAGCACAATATAATATGCCATCATTAAACTATCTAAATCTAAAATAAATGCATTTAAAGTAATAAATGAGGAACAAGTTAATGAAAAGGCCGCCCTCTATCGCGCCTCCTACGAAACTTTGATGATTTGCAATGTGCGACTATTTCGCATCGCATATAATTTCGTACACTGCCACAAGGTGGCGCTATTATTAACTTGAAAATATTAAATTAGCAGAAACTCTAATAATATTAGTCAAATTTAATGCTTACCTATGGATAGTGGTCATATAAATAACTATTTCTATCACATCATTTACATAATTTAGACAATTTGTAAGGTAATAATCGTGCAACTTATTTGTTAGGTCAAATATAATTATTGCATATAGAATCACGCAACCTGTATTAATTATAACTCCAGTAGAATAATAAACAAATATATATAACGTATTAGTTATCCAAGTAGCGCCCTCTATGGCGTTTTCTTCGCAACTTAAACAGCTTCTGATGCATCGCTCGTGTAATAAATTCATTGCAAGTGGTCATATAGTTATAAATACTGCCACTAGATGTCGCTACCATTAATTTTTATTCACTCCATATCATCCCAAAAAATATTTACACAGTATCTTTTAAAATTGACTTACCTGGTCTGAGGAATGCCGTACTTGATACCAACTCCGACTCGAGGCAAAGCTTTTATCACCTTCTTCACCGTCGTCTGGTCCGGGAATGCGAAGAATATTGAGGCTGAAATAATATACAGTGATAATTATAAATTTGCCTATTATTTTTTCTTTAATATACGGATTAATAAGTTGTTTTATACTCAGCACGATTAAATTATTAAGTATTATTTGTACTTTATTGGTTATTAAAATAGTCACATACATACATATAGTTTATGTCAGATTATGTTCAACCTGAGTCGAAGATAGGGAAATCATTTCAATAATTGTGATAACATAGACATATTTTTGACAGGGAAGACAAGGGATGATAGGATATTTATTTTGTTATTTAAACTATTATAATTAAATTAAATTATCAGAATAACTTTATTCATATAAGTAACCAAGTACACTTATGAACGTCAACAGAAAATATGTTAAATTGATTCTAAATTTACATTTACTACCAGTTCGCCACGAAGAATGGTAGTAACTTAAGCTGTGGGTATCTCAACTGATCCTTCACATTTTACTACACTTCACTACACCAGAGACTCAAGAAGACAACGTAGTGAACACATGTAGAATGGATATGGCAAAAAAACATAAATTGGGCTCTGAACTTCTAGCACATACACCTTTAGGTACGATTTCCTGTTGAATAATTTTAAAAAATTAGGAGGGATTATGTAATGATAATTATTTTGAGGGATCTGAGAAATCTCTCTCTGAATCTGAATGGGAATTGGGAAAAACAAAAAATTCCTTATTTGCCAAAAAATATTAAGAGTAACTTACTTCTGCTTGCAAGGAACATCTCGATGGCCGTGTTCTGCAGCAAGTAACGTCTGGAGAAGATCGCGCGTATTTCGCTAAAGTACCATTTTCCGTGCAGGTTCTCGCAGTATTTCAACACCTGGAACAAAGAAAGATGTTTTATTGAATTTGCAATATTTTATTTGGCGGGTTAATCTGCTCTTATTTCTGTTGCCCTAGTACTTAACATGTTAAACAATATTTTAGAAATTTGTTTTTTTATAGAAAAAAATCGGGAACCCACCCCTAAAGGTAAGTCGCCGTCCATGGACACAACGCTAGAGGGCTCGCGAGTACGTTGTTGGCCTTTTAAGAATTGGTAGTGAGCCTGCCTTTAAACGTTCACTTGTACAACGACGGACGTGTGGAATTCCGTATTCTGCTTAATCGCAGTGTCTTGTCAGACATATAGATATATATTTCTGTATGTATCTGTGTCAATTTTTTTCATTTTGTATTATAAAATAGCAGTCAAAACCTAACGTCTATCCACGTGGCTAGTAAAATAAAAAACCATATATTAAATATTATGAGTCATAAATTGAAAATGTCAAGCGACTGAACGAAAATATCTATCTATCTATAAAACATCTTTGTAATGGTGACATATCGTCTGTTAATAGTAAAAGGGCAGCACGTCCGGAGACATAAAGAATTCTAAAAATACACTCCATGACTGAATTTGTTTCTTTAAAAAACTAACACAAAACGAATTAAAAATCGCGAAAAAAAGTTGTGAGAATTTTTTTTTACATAAGGTGAGCGCCAAAAAAGCATATACATAAGATAAACTTAGACAAAACAAAACAAATTAAAAAATACGTGTGTATACTTATGTAATTTACTCTCATCATTTTTCCCTAACACGCCAAAAGAAGTATAACTCTTCAAAAAACTAAAATGTTGACTATAGCTAACTACAGGGTGTCGGATTTTTGAGACGGTGTGCGCGCGCATCGTAAAAATTTACTCTCATCATTTCTAGAATGTAACAATAATAATACTTAGTAGAAAAAATAATTGTTAAGTTAAGAAATAGATAAATAAATTGTGCGTGTACTAGGTGTACACACGTAAGAAGTGAAACTTCTTTATGATCTTATTTTTCGAAAAATGATCTACTATATGCAACTTTACAGAAATTCGTTAAATTAGATAAAGTTTAACAAAAGGCTTTTATTATCATAGACATGAATACAAATATTTCATTTTACCTTATACTTCTACGAAGATTATTATAGAATTTCATTAATTGTAATATAATTATTACTATCATTGAAAAACGTGACGATTTGCTACAAAATTTCTCCCATACGTCGAGATAAAGAAGTTTCATTCCAACGCCGATAAAGAAGTTTCACTTCAATAAATATTTTTGTTTAAAGAAATAGATAAATAAGTTATGTATAATTGTTGTCAAAACTTATGGTCTAAATACTCTCACTTCCAATGCACCTTGCTTTTAAAATTTTAATCCCCTTACACGGCAGTGATCTATAACTTCTAGGGAGGTGATAAAATAGTTTGAGAAAGCGCTAAAAGCGACGAAACCAGTCATCACATGATGGGGCCCTAAGGAGTACATGACGCAGATCAGCTGGTTCATTCTCACATTAGCATCGCATGATAAATCGTTGCTAAAGTGTTATGATGCATTAACACGACATGCGTGCCGTGAAAAATTGCATCTAAAGCAAGTTATTACGTAACTCCATATTTAGTTATGTTTAAGATTTTATCTTCTTTTTGAAGTGAAACTTCATTAGGCGCATGAGGGTAAATTTTTTATGGATACGTCACGAAGATGTGCAGCGTTTTTGTAGAAGAAAAGGGAGAGAGCGATTGAGAGAGAGTTGGAAGAGCGAATTACCTTATTAGTATTTTACATTTTATGCAAAATAAATTATTGAAATCTCAAATGACGTAAAATGCCACGTGTTTTATTATCGAAGAAATAAATTTAAAAAATCAAATTTATTATTTGTATTAATTTTCGACACTTAATATTTTAATGACAATGAAATTCCTAACACATCTTCCTTTTTTCCCTCCCTCTAAGTCTCTGAAATCTAAAGTTTTAGATTTGTATAAATATGAACAAGACTTAAAAAATTAGTTTGCCAAAGAAGTTTCACTTCTGACATGTGTACTTTGTACGCACGCACTTTATTTCATACATGATGTTTTTTTTTGTGTTTTTTGTGGTTAAAATACAGCTTTAACTCAGCGAATTATTACATTATATATATATTATATATACACATATATAGTACAGTCAAAATCTGTTACAACGACATCGAAGGGACTACTCATATTTGGTCGTAAAAACCAATAGTCGTAACAGCCGATGACGTTATTAAGAACCAAATACAATAGAATTCAGCCGGGATCTTTGATTTTGGTCAATATCACCGGTATGCTGCTCAAAACCATGTCGTCGTAAACGGTTTTGACTGTATATATACGTCGCAGCCAACAAGCTTTATAAGCCGTTGATCTAACAGCCTAGCCTTTTAACTAAACAGTGTCGTTTAGCTATTTTTTTGAATTTTATTATCGATAGAAAAATTGATAAGTTTTTATTCCTGTAAAGTTTCTATAGCATAGCAAATGTTCCATATGTTGGTATGTACTAAAAAGGTAGGCTAAGTAAAATCACATTAAGGAGAAACGAAGTTCGCGGAGGCTAGTAGTAATTAAAAATTGATAAATAGAAAACGGTAATCAAAATGCAAATTGTACTTTAATGGAATGCATCGCGTGTTCTTTAAATTATTGAATTGAATACTTTTTATGATATGGAACTTTTAAAAACGCAAAATTCAAATTCAAAATTCAAAAATCATTTAATCATATAGGTAACTCAATGTACACTTATGATCGTCAAAAAAAAATAAATGTAAATGAAATGCTTCTAACTTTACATTTAGTGCCAGTTCTCAAATCAAGGGCGTAGAACGGAAGAGAAGAACTAATACTAATACTAACTAATTTTGGTAATAAACTCTCCGCCACTCTTTTTAATCGCCATGTTTTTTTTACACAACGTTTGTAAGGAGCTGCAACCATTACACCATGTTCCATATGACATCTTAAGTAATAAATAATAATAAAATAAATTAAAAACAAAGAGTTGTCCTCTATCAGAAGGCATGGTGAAATAGGAGCACGCATATATATTCTCGTGGGAACAACACGCAAACACATAGTTGAAATAACAAATAATAATAACTCTATTTTTATCCAATAAAATCAATAATAAAAACAAAAACACCAGCACATATATAATTTTCTATTTCTGTTGACGGGATGTAATGCGTTGTTTTTGCTGCAGAATACGAGGGGCACGTCTAGTCCAATTGTATGGCAATTTGTCAGCGTCTCTCCCTTCCTGAGATATTAGAAAGTAATACACGACAAACGTAAATAAGAATTTATATTTAATTCTAAAACAACCTCCTATGGTCTCATATTACCCTGTTACATTGAATTTATTTATAGGCAATAAAGGTGGTCGTTTAAAAAGGAAAAAGATAGAAAAGAAAGAAGTTGAGAAGACAATGGACCAGTATGTTAACATTTATAGGATTTTGACCAAATCTCGACTCTTAATAAAACCCTGCTGCAGCACCTGCTGGATTCCTTACGTATTTTCATCGATAGTTTAAAAAAAAACAGTGGCGCTACAACCTCTTTAGGTCTTGGCCTCAGATTTCTGAATTTCATGATCATTTTTAAATCTAATAGGCAAGTAGGTGATCAGCCTCCGACACACACACGCCGTCGACTTTATGGGTCCAAGACATGTCGGTTTCCTCACGATGTTTTCCTTCACCAATCGAGCAAACATTAAATGTACATAGAAAGAAACTCCATTGGTGCACAGCCGGGGATGGAACCTACGACCTCAGGTATGTGAGTCGCACGCTGAAGCCACTAGGCCAACACTGCTCTTCCGTAGTTTAGTGTTAAGAACTTTAGACTTAGGCCCGTGCCAGGTGTATTACCTGGACAGCCCATAGGACCAATATCTCAATTCTAAAGGAATGTGAACAAACGGCTTAAAAGCAATGAAAGATTATTCCTATATCTAGACACGATACAATTTTACACAACAAATAACGAAATTTCACTAGGATTTTAATTTTAATTATATTCTGTCATTATCATTAAAATTTTGTATCTATATTAACGACAAAATTGAAACGACAGCTCACGTAAGGAATTCTTAGAAATTGTACATTCCATTCGTTAGATTGCTGATAACAGATAATGAATAATTTATTAATTCATTAAATGCATACAATTTCACATATTCTCGCGTAACTAATGTACGTACCTTTATAAGGAGAGACTATGAATTACGAATTAATTATTAACAGCAAAAAATATATCTTAATGTCATTTCAGTATTCATATTTAGCTTATTTACCTATCTATTATATTCACCAAATCAAACATAATGCTATATCTTCAGAATATGTTATCAGCTATATTTTCTAAAATATTTGACAAATTATGGTACAAACATAAAAGTTACAAAAAATTAAAAATTCAATAAAAATTTATATTACACTTACTTTTAGATTTTAATAGTTTCTAATTACATTACATAATTATGTTTTTCTTTATTAATCAGCCCACTACAAGCTGGATAAGTAGAGTTTAGTGTTTTATATTTTGGAAATTTGGAAAATTCTGCTGATTTTTAAACCTTGGGAATTAATTTCTATATAAATATCAGTTATAACACCTAAACATAACCATCAAATATACAATATTTAAAATTTTATTAACCTACATAGTAGTAATAATAAAGGAATAATAAAACAAAATTGAAAAGTTTGGTCCCTGTTATAACCTTTAATGGCAGCATTTCCTCGCTGTATTGCGCTCATCATTGAGCGAGGAAAGCACCAGCTCTGGGTTCACCGGTACTATCTACCAGATTCTGTATGAGGTTATTGTGGACCTCTTGGATTCTATTGGCTTATATTAATTCTAGCGAGTAGGAGCGCTAATATAATTACAGTGAGTCTGCTAAAACAGTGACCTGTTCGAGATTTTTATAAAAACTATCTTAATATAAATTACGTGTCACGTTGTTTGTCCGCTACGGACTCCTAAACTACCGAACCGATTTCAATCAAATTTGCACACCGTGTGCAGTTTGATCTAACTTAAAAGATAGGATAGCTTACATCTCAATTTATACCCGCAATATTATTTTATTGCAAAATATTTGTTTACTATTTGAGTCACAATTCT